GACTGACTGTTGACTCAGGTCGACTGACTGTTGACTGACCAGGTCGACTGACTGTTGACTGACCAGGTCGACTGACTGTTGACTGACTGTTTCTCTGTAGGAAGTGGGAGTCTGAGCGTCTCCATGTTGTCGTTACTGTGTTGTAATGAAAGATTGAGCAAACGTTTCATCGTTTCTGCTCCTATGATGTAGGCAGAGCAGTGCATGCTGGGATTCTCGGGGTGTCACTCAACCCCCTGCACCTTGAACTTGATCTCATTTTCTTGAATTAGTCAATGGAAACAAACTGATGTTGTGTGTGTGTGTGTGTGTGTTCTCAGTAGCAGTGCCGCGTCCACAGACAGGGGGCAGTCAGCTGAAGAGGTGGACAGTGGACAGACCGTCTCTGACTCGTACGTCTACAGGATGGACTACCCCAGGATGGGGGTCTGTGTGATCATCAACAACAAGAACTTCAACAAAAACACAGGTGAATGAACCATACCCTGGTCCAGACTCTGGTCCAGACTCTGGTCCCTGACCCTGGTCCAGACTCTGGTCCCTGACCCTGCTCCAGACCCTGGTCCAGACTCTGGTCCAGACTCTGGTCCAGATTAGGATCCTGAGTCTGGGCAGCTGAAGAGGTGGACAGTGGACAGACCGTCTCTGACTCGTACGTCTACAGGATGGACTACCCCAGGATGGGGGTCTGTGTGATCATCAACAACAAGAACTTCAACAAAAACACAGGTGAATGAACCAGACTCTGGTCCAGACTCTGGTCCCTGACCCTGGTGTCTCTGTGTGTTTGCAGGAATGGATGTTCGGGACGGGACAGACGTGGATGCAGCTCTTGCCATGAAGACCTTCAGTTCCCTGGGGTACGATGTCAGGGTGGCCAACGACCAGACTGTGGAGCAGATGAAGCAGATGTTTCTGGATGGTAAGTCCACCTCCACCTCCATATTGTCTTGTGAAGCCTCAGTCTTCCGCTGCTGTCAGTCATCCTGTCCCCTGTCTGTGGCTGTCAGTCTCCCAGGAGGACCACAGTAAAAGTGCTTCCTTCGTGTGTGTGATCCTGAGTCACGGAGACGAGGGCATCATCTACGGCAAAGACGGCTGCGAGAAGTTTGAAACGCTGACGGCTAACTTCAAAGGGAACAGGTGTTCAGGTCTGCTGGGGAAACCAAAGCTTTTCTTCATCCAGGTGAGTCACCTGCACACCTCACCACTCTCCTCTGGTCAAAGGTCAAAGGTCAAAGCTCTCTGGTCTCACTGACCTGGCTAACTGTCTATGTATAAAGAAAATTAAAAAACAGGAAGTGGAAAGAGTTCCTCTGGAGAACTCTGTTGGTGTCTGTGGAACACGTTCTTCCCACGTTCTGTTCCAGCACCTGAACGTCTCTCTGCCGATGTAGGGACCTGACGTCTGGGTTGGATAGTGGGTCACAACCAAGGTTTTTCGGCACATACTGCCACCTACTGTAGTGGAGTGTGTAGTGTCACGGTGTGACCAGTGACAGTTTGAGATAACTCCGTCTCCTGACACCGTCATGTCTGATTTATGTTTTTATTGGAACAATGGATTTGTATGGATTTCTAACCTGATCATCGTTACTATTCCTTCTATTCTAAAACGTGTTTGTTTTGGCGTGGTCTTCCAGGCGTGCCGTGGTTCGGTTCTGGATGAAGGATCGTTGGTGGAGGTGGACAGTGTGGCTGAGCAGAGGACAGAGAAGATTCCTGTGGAGGCAGATTTCCTTTATGCTTATTCCACTGCTCCAGGTACCGGAAAAAAAAGAGGCTGGAATGACATCACAACAATCCTTTTCATCAACTCTTGTTTATATTTATATCAATATGTGAAGATGAACAACAATGAAAATCTGAATGAAAACACGCGACGTTTTGTACTTAGAAAAAAAGAGTTCTCCCTAGAAAAACCTCATAAAATGTTATTTACATTTATTAAACACCTGTGCAGGTTTATACTCTGACACTGTTTCGTTGTGTGTGTGTGTCGTTGTGTGTGTGTGTGTGTTCTACAGGCTATTACTCATGGAGAAACACCAACAACGGCTCCTGGTTCATGCAGTCTCTGTGTCAGATGATACAACTCCACAGTAAAAAGCTGGAGCTGATGCAGATTATGACCCGAGTCAACCACACAGTGGCGCTAAACTTTGAGTCTGCCTCCAGCCGACATGGATATAGTGGCAAGAAGCAGATCCCCTGCATCGTCTCCATGTTGACCAAAGACTTTTACTTTCCCTCCTAGACCAGAACCTCCTGATACTGGTTCTGGTTCCTGTGACAACAATCAGAAACATTCTGGGGGGGGTTGAACGTCACTGCTTCAATCATATCTGTTTGATAAATTCTTTGTGTGTGGGAGGGGGGTGGGGTCACAGTGATCTCTGATTTGACGACACACCTGTTTTTTACGGTCCAGTGAAACTGAAGTTTTCATTTAACGTCACGACTTGCGTTCATTTCAAGTTTCTGGTTTCGTTTCCTGCTTCAGCTGCTCAGAAAGGGTGGGGCGGGGGTAGGAGGGACGTCGGAGGAAGTGAAAATGAAATTCAGCTCCAAGATCGTCTCGGCTCCAACAGAACACCGCCAGAACTGGAACAGGCAGAACAGCGTGGATCTGTCCTGCCGTGGGCTCAGTGTCCGGGCTCTGTGGACTGTTGAATAAATATCCCCTCCTCCCCCCCGTCACGGGTTTGTGTGTGTGTGACTTTTATATCATATTAATGTCATAACTGTACAGTAGAGTAAACCTACATTTGAGCCACACCACTGAAATGGACTTGACAACAAACCAGAATCACTGCACACGATAATGATTTTTCACATCTCTAAGTTATAATAGAGTTAAATGGTGTAGAATCAACACCGTTCGTGGTTTTATTGTCAGGTCCAACTTCCGGTTGCAGGTCTGAGAACAGTAAACAGACGGTCTGACAGTGTGGAGGCCACTTCAAGTTCACGTTAAAAGAGTCAAATAACAATAAAACATAATACATGTTAAATATGATGTTGAGTTAGAGCCACATTCAGGAATAAAACACAATAAACACAGGTGAATTAAAAAAAATATCAAATATTCAATGAAACGGGGGCCAGTTCTGCTAATGTGTGTGTGGTTCCTGTTTCAGAACAGATGACGTTTCCTCCACGTTGATGACGCTGATGCTCATGAAGTTCCTCAATATTTGTGAAACCGATGCGAACGTTTAACAAATTGCACCCTGGAATACGTCACCTAACGTCTGGACAACAGGCCGTTAAACTTCACTCCACTCTCGTGTTTATTCGTTTTAAATTAAAGTCGTGGCGCTGGTTTTCATCTGTAAATGATTAACTAATGTCTTTGGTTTATATTTCTCTACAATATTCACTAAGTTCAGCCTCGAACACGGACTGGTCGCCGGTGTTGTTGTAGTTCCCGGCGGCCGGAAACAGCGGCAGAGTGAAGCCTCTCCTCTCAGGGTGTAACGTTCAAAAACTTCCGTGACGGCGCTGGAACTGGAACTGAAGCGAGGGTTTGAGAGCGGGAGGGGAATTCCAGCTCAGCCCTCACCCCCACCACTGCCCCCCCGGACAACCTTGTTTTGCTTTCGCTCCGCACTTAGAAACAGAAAAACGGTCACACTTTTGTTTTCCTGGAAAAATAAACACGAGGACGAAGAGTTGAAGTTGTCGTCGGCCGTGAGGCAGCGCTCGTCACTCCGTCAGCAGGACCGTGGAGTCAGCGGAGTCAGGTAGAGGTTCGATTTCCGCATTTTCGCTGTTGGCTGGAGACACACACACACACACACACACACACAGGGCACACAGACACACACGGGCAGACGGTGCAGGACGACATGACAGATCGCTGTGTAAGTGAAAGTGTGACTGCAGCCTTTGTCTGCGTTTTTATTTTCACTTTTAGCTCCGCTGTTTTCTGACAGCACGTTGACAGCAGTAAACAAACGGACCGCCGTTAACTTCTCACACACGGAGACACGGAGACACATCAACTTTTTAGCGCGGGGAACGTTAACAAACCTCGGCGTGGACGTGACTGATGATGATCGCTGTGGATTTTGAACTTTGTCACAACTTTGTCTCAGCGGTTAAGACGATGTTATCGAACCTCAGCTTTCTGTGTGCAGGTGTCACTTATGCTGCTTTTTTATCGCTTCTTAACGCAGTTCTCTACGAAGACTGTAGAATTATATACCTTTTTACACCCACACACACACCCACACACACACACACAGACGTGTGTCGTCCTCGAGCCCAGGTTCAGGTGAAAATCTACTCTCTCTATATCTACGTCTAATCTATTTGATGAGACACTCTCGCCTCGCCTGCCACTAGATGTCGCTAAATTCAGCACAGCGTCGCTTTATACATATTAAGGAAACAGTGTAATCGTGATAATGTGCAGCAACAGTCGTGGTCGGCTCCTCCCGTGGCTCTGGTCAGGCTTATCAGTAGAAAACAGATGTCTGGATGGATCCAGTTTATAGAAACACGTGCATTAATATCTTACGGTTTAAGGTTTTGTAGGAGTGGTGATAACAAGGTTTGATAACAGCAGGAAAACTTTACAGTAAATGTCAGTGAGTGTCAGTCTGTTGTTAAAGTTTTTTGACTTCTTAAAAAAATCCTACAATTTCCTAGCTTTTCTGTGACAGTAGAGCAGAACTGAGAGTTTCATCTTAATTATTAGTTTCATTTACTTTTTTATGAGGAGAACAGAGAACGGCGTCGAACGTTGGAGGATCAGGGTCCTTTATTTAAAATGTCTTTCTATGACGTTCACAATCATTGATGTCTGTAAACAAGTCAGTGTGAATCCAGCATGTTGTCACATGGTCCATGGTGTCGGTCCATGGTGTCGGTCCATGGTGTCGGTCCATGGTGTCGGTCCATGGTCACCAGGGGAGAAAAGAACAAACTGGTGAAAATCCCAGGATAAGTTTGTATTAAAGAAAGAGTTTTTCTGTTGACATTGATCAGTTGTTGCCAAACTGAATGTGATCAATGTCTTTGTTTGTAGGCGTCTGAGATTCTAAGTCATTATTTTTCATTTTAATATTTGAGATGCTACAGTCCAGTTCAGAAAGTTCAACTCTCTACAGCCTCAAACCTTTATTCAAATGTCTGGTGGTTCAGTCCTCACCAACAGGAAGTGTGTCATCGTGTCACCTTGTTTGACCTCAGCCCATGGTAGCTCAGATTAGTCTGTTAGTCTGTTAGCTTTGTATTAGATCAGTTTTTGACCCTGTACACACTGACGGCCTTTATGTTGTTTTGGTCATGTGACGGGTGTGTGTGCACCTGCCCCTTTGTTGAACTAGAACAGAGACAAGTTAGCTTACCGTATTAGCTGATATGCTAACTGTTGCTGAAACTTTTCATTTGACTTTTTTTCATTATCTGTATTTGTAAATTTACATAATATAAATATATAAAATAAATAAATATATATATATGTATACATATAAAACAACAAAAGATTGACCAATCATAATTTTGGTGTGTGTGTGTGTGTGTGTGTGTTTCCAGGACACCATGCCAGTAGAGAGGATGAGGATGAGACCATGGCTGGAGGAGCAGATAAACTCCAGTCAGATACCAGGACTGAAATGGCTTAACAAGGTACACACACACACACACACACGCACACACACACCGTTGGGGTCGACAGCTGTACAACTGTGAATGTTTTTAGGAAAAAGGAATCTTCCAGATTCCCTGGATGCACGCGGCCCGTCATGGCTGGGACCTGGAGAAGGACGCGCCCCTCTTCATGAGATGGGCCATTCACACAGGTGATTTGGTCGCTCACCCGGTGCTTCTCCTCCTCCTCCTCCTCCTCCTGCTGCTGCTGCTGCTGCTGCTGCTGCTGCTCTCCCTCCTCAGAGAGAAGAGAACCTCCTCATGTTTCTTTGTTCCTAAGGTAAATACCAGCCCGACGTGGACCGTCCCGACCCAAAGACGTGGAAGGCTAACTTTCGCTGTGCCATGAACAGCCTGCCGGACATCGAGGAAGTGAAGGACAAGAGCATCAAAAAGGGAACCAACGCCTTCAGAGTTTATAAGATGCTGTCGTCCACGGAGAGAAATCTGAGAAAAGGTGAGCGGCGTCTGTCACTGCCCCCTGCTGGTCTGTCTTCAGGAGTTCACGTTTGTCTATGAAGGTTCTCAGTCATCCAGGTCAAAGTTGAAGTGGTCCGTTAGGCAACTGGACATGAAGTTTTCTCAAGAAGACGTTTTGCCTCTTGGATGTACCCCCTAGTGGGGAGTGAGGGAAACGTCATGTCCAGTTGGCTAACGGAAAACTTCAACTCTTTAACCCTGAGTTCACGTTTGTTTTCTCTTTTAGGAAAGAAAAAGTCTGACAAAGAGGGGAGACCCAGAGAACACAGTGAGGTGAGAAAGCCCATCTGGACAAGAGCGCCACCATCTGGTGAAGCCTAGAGTGTCCAGTAGTCACTCCAGGCTTCACCTGTGGCCTGAAGGTTGTGGGTGTGAATCCATGACTCTGGAAACGATCTTAACCAGTACTTAATTTCTTAAGCTCAGATCTTCTGCTCCACTTCCTCTCTGACTGCTGTATGTGTCAGACAGCTAACCAGTAACCACAGCGCCCTCTGCTGGCCATACTGTTTTGGTTGTTCTGTCCAACAGAAAAACAGATTTCTCTAAATTTCTGAGCTGAAGAATCCAGTGTTATTTGAACGTAAACAGCTGTGGTCTGTTGTTCAACATAGGGTTCACAGTCTACTGTCAGGACCTGGGTATAAAGTATGTTTAAAAATACGAAGAAGAAGAAAGTCTGTCTTTTCTGTGTTTGTCCACCTGTCAGTCAGATTCTGATGGTTGGTCCTCCGACTGTCTCCGTCCTCAGGAATCCTCGTTTCAGCTGCCAGACAGGATTCTTCTCCAGGCTGACGGTGGACACGCCGACCCTTTCAAAGGTCATCCAATGATCAAAAAGGAGGAAGTAGAACCAGTAGCTGTGGACGCAGCCTCAGGTGACGGCGCCGCTGTTTCCTCCTAACTCTTGTGTTGCTCGTTCTTTCACCCCAGACCAAGTCTGTCTGGAGGAGGGAGGTAGAAATGAGTTAGGGTTTTCAACAGGTCACAGTCTGAGGTCAGGGGTCAGGGGTCAGAGGAATTCTGGGATTGTTTAATTAACAGTAACAGACAGATGGACGGGGGAGGCGGGGGTGAGGTCAGTGTATGTCCAACTCAACAACATTGTTGTCTGTCCACTCACAGCTGTCCACAGTCCATTCTACGACCACGTGATCACCAGCGAACAGCTGCCATTCGTTTGTCAGACCATTGAAGTAACCACTGAGAACGAGGAGCAGACAGTTAGCTCCTCCCACTCCTACCCGCTCCAAATCTCCCCGGTCTCTTCATGCTACGGTGAGACACACGCACACACATCTCATCTGATTGGTTGATGGAGTGAATTGACATGTGACATGAAATACTGTAGTACAACTGCCACAGTACAGCTGCAGTAAGTGCACACTTCCTGTCTGACCCCCCCCACACACACACACACACACACACACACACACACTCCTCTGTCAGGGGGGTAAACATTAGCAGTCGTGAAAACTTAAAGACAGGAAGTGATGTGGCAGAGGAGCGAGCTGATTGGCTGATGTCATCAGTCCTCTGTCTCCATGTTGTTGACAAATAAATCCATGTCATGTTTACAGGCAGCGACACAGACAGTGACACGGAGGACACTAAAGAGGTGAGTCTCAGTGACACACACACCACACGGGGGGGGGGGGAGTGTGTGTGTGAGTGACATTGAAGTTGTGTCAGGAACTGTCAAACATTAACAAACCATGTTGTTTTGTTTTCAGCTGGAACATTGTACCGTCAGCACACACACACACACACAGATGTGTCACCTATGATAACAGTCCTAGTAAAAAAATATATGTATATAAATACACACATACAGTATATATATATATATATATATATATGTATATATATATATATGTGAACCTGTCAATATATATATATATATATATATATTGACAGGTTCACATATATATATATATACATATATATATATATATATAAACCTCTCTATATATATATATATATATATATTGACAGGTTCACATATATTGACAGAGTCATATATATATTGAGAGGTTTATATATATATATATATATGTATATATATATATATATATATTGACAGGTTCATATATATATATGTATATATTGACAGGGTCATGTCTTTCTGTGTTGTTTATATTTGTCCGTTGGATCATGAACGCGACGACAGGACGTTTTTGTTTCTTCTTCTTGAGCTGCTGCTCCACCTGACTGACACACCCCTCCTTGTTGTTGTTCTTCCTCCTTCCTCCTCCTGCTGTCTGCTCTGGGGCAGGTTGGCGGTGCAGTCTGGAGACGGGGAACCCAGAACCCAGTCCTCAGGTTTCCCACGTGTTCTCTGCCCGGAATGGCCTCGTTCTTCAGTCCAAACAAGCCCAACTTCAGAGTGACCAGCCAGCGGGACCCCGCCCCACTCATCAGCTACCACACTGACCCCTGGGCCTCCGCCTACAGCCAGAACTCTCCCACGTCGCCGACCCAGAGCAACAGTCAAGAGGTGCGAGAAAGTGTCATCAAGAAAACGTCTGACGTCACGCCCTCCTGACCCCGGACCGGTCGAGAACCCGGCTGCCCTCGGGGCAGAACCGACCTAGAACCGACCAGAATGTGGCTAAAAAGACAAACCATCACATGTGGGGTGTGTGTGTGTGTGTGTGTGTGTGCCTGACTAGAGCTGCAGTGATGGGAGCCACTCAGTGTCTGAGTCTTGAACCCGTTCCCTGACCCAGGGGTCAGTCCTTTAAATACTTGAATGTTCCGTGTGTCTCTGGGAGGACCACAGCTTCTGCACTTTATTATCACCACGTCCTGGACACGTGAGACGGAGCATGTTTTTAACCTGTGGCCCAGTGGTTAAAGGATTTTTATTAGATGGTTGGAGGTTCGACTCCAGGGCCTGTCAGAGGGCAGTTACACTGTAAGGTGCAAAGCATTTATTTATGGGACACTTTCCATCCAGTCCAGAAGACGGGTCAGAACAGACCCAGTCAAATCACCTGTAGGTTCTCTGCAGGAACCGGTTGAGTTCTCTGAGCAGAGTGTGATATGAACCGGTGGAACAAAGAGGTTTGAATGGAACGAGGAAGTTGGACCTGGGTCGACAAACCAGATCAACAGGATGATGATGATGATGATGATGATGATGATGATGATGATGATGATGATGAGCCCAGAATCACTGCAGACCCTGTCACGTGTATGTATGTGTGTGTGTGTGTGTGTGTGTGTGTGTGTGTGTAAAGCAAAGCTCAGGTTAAAGTCCGTTGCAGGACACACTGATGACACAGACTTTGAAATCGTGTCTTCTCCTTACCGCCTCCTGCTGGTAATTATTTGCATAAATCTATGTATGTTGGCTGGGGTGGCTTTAGCACCTTATGGACAGCACTAGTATGTGTGTGTGTGTGTGTGTACAACCTGCGCTTCACCCTGTTATTGTCGGTCGTTTGTCTACTGACTACACACACACACGGGGAGTGTGTGTGTGTGTGTGTGTAGTCAGGTTGTTTGGGCTGAATCAGAACCAGCTTCTGTAATGAAGGAAGAGCTGAAAACACAGTCGGTCTTGAAGTTGTACTTGAAGTACAGCTCCATAAACGTGTACGGTTTTATGATGACATTTTTGTAAAGAGAAATCTTTATAAAAATGTACGTATTTTCATGTACAATACATTTGTATTAATCTTAAATATTCATAAATATATGTACACTTTACTACATGTTTATAAACCTGATCCCAGTGGAACGTTGGTTCTGTTAGAACACAGTGGAAGAGTCTGGTTCACCTGTTGGCAGTGACCTCAGCAGTGACCTCAGCAGTGACCCTTGACACGCTGACTCACGGTCTCTCGTCCACTCTCTTCTCTCAGAGTAAACGTGCCTGCTAACACAGCTGCTAACACAGCTATCTACTAACATTAGTAGCTGCTAACATTAGTAGCCGCTAACAGAGCTAGCTGCTAACATTAGTAGCTGCTAACAGAGCTAGCTGTGTGAAGCTGAGACCAGACCAAACTCTATGACTTTGTGGACAAATGTTGGTTCTGGACCAGACGGTCGCAGCTTCACTGTTTTCACTTCACTGGAGAGTTCTCCTTCTCTGAGGTGACGGAGGAGACGAGGAGGAGGAGGAGGAGGTCTTTGGATCTTTGTGCTGAACGCTGCATGTTTTTGTGCCTTTCCCAGAGACAGGATTCCTGCAGCATGTTGTTGTTGTTGTTGTTGTTGTTGTTGTTGTTGTTGTGACGGTGTAAATCCACCATCCCTGTGCCAAATGTCCTGCTGTGGCACAAAGTGCTGACCTTAGTTCAGAGTAAGACTGTAAGGTTAGGGGGCTGAGAGCCTCGGTGTGTAACCCTAACCACACCTGGCCGTGGGAATCTAAAGACTGTCGTAGGACGACTCAAGTGCACTTTTTGTTTGTTTGTTGGTGCGTGTGTGTTAGAACAGAGGTGTGGTCTTGTTGTGTGTGTCCTGGTTCATCGTCATCGTCGTCTCGTTCTTACCTGCGTCTGTGACTAAGGCCATTGATTTACAGGTGTTCTAACTCAGGTGTGTTGTAGACTGGACTCCAGAACACACCTTAAAAGGACTTTATCACCTGTCAACCCCGGGCAGTACAGACGCCTACAGACATTTACCCTCCTGCGACATGACGTCAGCACTGTTAACTCAGCCATCTGCTACCACACAAGAATCAACATGTAAATCTGAATAAAGACTTTTTTAATTTATTCTCAGCTGTGTTGGACTTTGTCTTGTCCTTTGTGGAGCAGAGGAGACGGTGGGCGGCGTCCAGCTGCACAGTCACAGGGTTCAGAGGTCAGGTTTATGAGACGAGGTTTATACCTGCTGTACAAAGTCCTCTGTTGTAAAGACACCTGTGTGTGTGTTCTGTCGGAGCAGCCGATGTCTTCGTAAGAAAAACCCGCTCAGTTTCACTCGCTCTTCTCAGTTCCCTCTCTACTTCCTGTTTGTTTCCTGTTATACCTGCTGTCTGCTTCAGGTTAATGCAAAAGGTTAATGTTTAAAAACCGATAACAATTATCAACTGGTATTTTCTGACATCTAGTGTTTGTTTTTATATTAATAAACGATCAGATGTGTAAAAACCCAACGTTTTAATTACTTTTGGCAGAAAACAGAATCTTCGGGAGAAGTGCTCCTCCGACTGTTCTTTAGTGAAGGCACGTTACCACCATCTAGTGTTCAAAGGTTGAACTGTCTTGTCGTGTATCCATTCATTTCCAGTAGACCTGGGACTGTGAGGGTGTTGTGACGTGACGTGGTTATTTAATGTATGTATATTTGAAAACTGACGTCACACTGTTTTAAAGAGCAGTTTTTGATTTATTCTGAAGAAAATTCACGAAAACATTCGAGAGCAGTTTGATCCCTGTCCTGTTGAAACGTGTGTTGTTTGTGGATATTCTCAGTCATTCGGGTCATCATAATAATCTCAAAAGCAAGTTTTTAAGTAGGCAACTGGACTCACGTCAAGTAAGTTGAACTTTCAACTTGAGTTGTTTATACTGGAGATGTTAAAACACGGTTTATGATCTGTTGTGCTCGGTGTTTCTGATAATAAAGACCACAACTTTCCTGTGTCTGTTCACCTCTGCTGAGGACCAGCACAAAGTGGAGGGAGTTAGCCCCGGAGCTAATGTTAGCCCCGGAGCTAATGTTAGCCCCGGAGCTAATGTTAGCTTAGGCCCTGGAGCGGATCACTGAGTTTCCCCTGTTCATTCCTACTACGGTCGCGGCGCCGAAGCAGCCGTGTTACAGGGACTGTTAGGAAAATAAAAAGCATTTATTTAATTAAAAGTGAAAAAAAATCTTTCTGTGTAAATATCCAATGTTACAACGTGGACACCTGCGGTTTATAGAGAAGTGCGGCCTGTATGCAGTATGTACAATTATTTTCGATCATTCAATCAGCAACGCGTTCATCCTGACGTCACTTCCTTGTAACTAAGCGAAAAAGTTTGAGAACAATAGAGGAGAAGTTTATCGACTCATGTGCGGCCTCCAACACCACTGCTACGGTTTATCGTGACACGAATGAAGCAGAAGAGGCGTGGGCTGAAGTCACCCAGGAGGTGGGTCTCTGTGGAGCTGTCACACTTGTGGCTGCTTTTACTTCGTCAATGACGGTTTCGCTTTTCGACTTTTTCGGTTCGTTAACCATTGATCAAAAGTGGAACCTCGACATACGAGTCTAATCGTGTTCTCCCTCCTGTAGCTCAGCGCTAACCTCCGCCGCGTCGTGGATTTCCTTTATTGACGTCAAATGTTTTGCTTATATTTCCATTCTACAACTTTACTTTACTTACTTTTACTTTACAACTTTTACTTTCAATAATATAATAACTATTTCGACTCTACTTCACGTTTTACCTTTTCGCGGTGGGTCTTGGAACGGAACTACCGCGATAGGTGAGGGACCACTGTATTCCCGAAAGAAAATCTACATTTTATTTTAATTAAACATGTCAATTTTGGTCAGAAAAAAAATATAAAAAATACTATTATTAACAGTAAATAAATTAAAAAATAAAACATAAATATCAAACCTTTGTCCAAGAGATTACATGGCAAATTCAAATTTCCCAACTATGAAACAGACCGTGTCAATAACAAATTAAACGTTTTAAACCGATTCTCTGGTCTGAACTGAGCTCTAAAATAACCTGAGGTAGGTCACATATTTGCCCACTAGATGGCGGAATTTGACAAAAAGAAAACCTGTAGCTATGTTGTATATTGAGTAATATAGAAATGAAGAGTTGCAGATGACCAGTCAGTGGATTGTCTTTAGCCCCGACTACAACTGCCGTCGGGCTCATGTGTGGCCATCGTGGAGACAAACGGTCTCCAGCCCTGACCTTTACCAGTTTCTATGACGTTTGTGATCACACGGAGGTGAGGGATCGCCAAAATGTGTCCAATAGTTAATGATCCAATATGTTAAAATATTAATGTGTGTAAAAAAATTAAAAATATGAGTAAATGCAAAAAATACAAACGTCCAAAGATGCTTCAAAATACAATGTGTTTTATTTGTGCTAAAAATGAATAAAAACTTCTCCTCCTGATGTAACAATAATTGAGCAGAAATGACACATTTAGACTTTTGCTAAAACAAGCCTCATAATCCAAGTACATACACAGATTGTTTCCCAATCACAGATGCTAAAGCAATGTTTAAAACAGTGTAAAACCAATGGTCTAAAATAGAAGCCAGTGTTCTGCAGGGCCGTTCCAAAGAAGTAGTAGAAGAAGTATTTAACGGCCTGTGCAGTTAAACTATTCTTTTAAATATGAGTACCTTTCATTGAGAGGTACACAGTGTTGTACAGTAAATGTCTCACAGTCACAGACACTGTTGGGCTGCTGTCTGTTTACATTCATGGTCTGTTCGACTGCAGAACGTCTGAAGAACTCCAGGACCGGACCACTCTGAGGTCGTCTCTGGCCAATACTGCACCAAACTGGACACCATCCACGTCAGCCCTGAAGCACAGTGACCTGTGGGGCACGTCCAGATGGGAAGAGGAGGACAACGGTGGTGGAGGAGGTGCGTCGTCAGGAGGACGATAGAAGTGCGAAGGCGCTCTCTCTGGTCAAATAGGGACCAGGGCTGAGGTGAGAAGGTCTGGAGAGGAGAAAACTCTGCTGGAAAAACTCTGGGAAATGGAGGCGAGAAACGTCAGCTTCATCATCAGAGCAACCTACGATGAGCTCCATCTCCAAACCAGCTCCACAGAGATGTTTCCACCAGACACTGGAGCCACCACCTCAGACCAGGGTACACTACTGACCATGTGCGTCAGGCTCCTAAAGGATCTGGGCGTCCGTGGACAGACGATCACATCAGTGACTGCCAGTGGTGATGTGTCGAGTGGAAGGATCTCTACTGGGCCCAGAAAACACCAGGACACCCCCCCCCCCTCATGAGACAACAGGTGAGTCAACAGGGTATGTGGTCAGCTCCAGGTTTGACTCTGGGGGTCATCTTGTAGCTGGCCGCCTTAGACGAGAGTGTCCAGTGTTGAGGCCGAAACACCCGGTGATTTAAATGAGAGTATTTTGAGAAAAAAAAATTTTGGGATTTTTCAGTAAAATCCTATTTTTGCATCATGTGTTCAGATTTTTAAAGATTGAAGAAACATTTATGAAAATGTTTGAGAGAAAAAAAAATCAAAATTGTATCTTTTCAGCATGTTTCTTATCAAATTAGAACATTTTGAGAAATCATTTAAAGTTCATCAAATATTAATTTCATGTGTAAGGTGGTGAGATTTTGATAATGTTTGATAAGAAAATCAAAATTGTATCTTTTCTGCATGTTTCTTATCTACAGAAGTGTACTGCTGATGAGATGACAGTTATCAAGTGATAACATGACGCTCCTACTGTGATTTTGTTGGTCACAACTCAGTGGATAGAATAAAAACCTTGACTTTTCAAAGTTCTCCAGGTCGACAACAGAGAACTCTACCACGTCCTACTGGACGTATCCATCAGATCATATCTGTCTGTATGAACGGAGCCGAGGGACACGCTGAAATATTCACGTTTTTATTTAACATCAACAAAAATATTCAAAGGCTGAACTAAAATGTTGCACATTTTTATTATAACAAACAATCAGAAAGTGATGAGTTTGATTTTTACCAAATTGTCTGCTTTATGGGTTTTATTAATACAGACGACAGACGAGTCTTTAGAACTGGTTTGATTGGAGGAGAAGTGAGTTTATAGATCCAACAGACGTGTACGTGGATGAAAAGACGCTGCTCCACGTCGTCCCTCTGACCTCCTACTGCAGAGGCTGTTTCAGCTCAAAGAGTCCAGTTCCACCTCGGACCACCTTTCCCACCACCAGGCAGGCAGAGGGCGACACCAGCTGGTCGTGCAACCCTGTAGAAAGAGAAGGAAAGATCTAGAAACTGTTGGATTTCAACTGTGATGAAGAAACTGGTCGGAAATAAAACGATCGACCTGAAGAAATATGTCTACGTTAAATGACCTCCTGACCTTTGGAGCACGTTCCTCTGGGTTTGTGAAGAACCAGAACTTAAACCTCCCTGTCATGGAACACCAGCGGTTCCTTTGTCTGATCACGTGATGAGAACATTCTTACCCAACATGGTGGCCTCCTTCAGGAACTTGTAGCTGGTCTCAAATGTCATCTGCTGCAGAGGGGAGGCGTTGGAGCGGATGGCGTGACGGTTGAGTGGTTTATAAACACCTTCAAAACACATGTAGTCGGCCACCAGCGACAGGTGTCTGGGGTCCACCTCGATACCTGCGGCCCACAGACGAATACAGACGATCAACAGACACACAGTGGTTTGTACATGTGTGTGTGTCCGTGTGTGTGTGTGTGTGTGTGTGTGTGTGTGTGTGTACCATAGACGGCAAAGACGTCTTTGATCTCCTTCTCTATGACCTTCAGTGCGACCTCAATCCCATAAGTGTTGGCCATGGCGTGGACTTCGTTGGAGTAGAGTCTGTTCAGGTCTAAAATCTGGAGAAAATCAAACGTTAGCAAATGAAGCTAACGGCTGTTTCAACCACAACAACAGACGTCACTGTGTGTCAGGAGCTGAACCACCGACCAGTGTGGAACAACAGAGGGCGTTAGCCCGAGTTAGCATGGGGCTAACATACTACGAGGCAGTACTCCAAGATACTGTGTACTAGTCGTGACACTGTGCGTACTTCGCTGTACTTGAACATCTCCTGCAGGTTGATGCCCTCCGTGTTGAGAACCGTCGTCTTCTCCCCAGACTTTGTTGTGGTTTCACTCAGGAGGCAGCGGGTCAGGCCCCGGGTCTCGACGATAACAGAGTTTTGGGCCAGTGTTGACAGGACTGAGGTCAGGTCAAAGTGCACTTTACTGAGTGGAAGGACCAGCTCCACCTGTGGACACACACACACACACACACACACACACACACCATCATCCAGTCAACACTGGGGGAGAGACTCTGTGCTACAGACAACCATGACCTCTGACCTTCTGGTCCACTCATCACCTCCGACACCCACCTGACACCAGAGTTCGTGTTTGTAGTCGTAGCAGTATCTCTCCACAGCTGGGTGGCTCTGTAGGACACTGTTGACTCTCAGCTGACTCATGCCCTCCTCCTCTCCTCCTTCCTCTCCTTCCTCTCCTCCTTCCTTTGTCCGTCTCTTTTTCTTCTTCACTCTTTTCATCTCTGTGAACTCTGACGACACAGACACTTTCCTAGAGTCCTTCTTCTCCTCCTCCTGCTCCTCCTCCCCCTCCCCCTCCTGGCCGTCTTTATCGTCTCCGTCCTGCTCCCCGTCGGCCTCCTCTTCGCTCTCGTAGTCCACCTGTAAAGTCAGGTTTTGATGTGAAGGTACAGTTCAAACCTCCGTCCACGGCCCTGTCGCTCTGCTCTCACCTCCTCTTCCTGTTTGCTTCTTCGTTTGGCGTCTGAGGCGTCGGCGTCTCCGTCGTTCTCCTCCTCTTCAACGGCGTCTTTCTCCTGGTCTCCTTCTCCGTCGTCCAGCTGATGAAGGACAGTGTTTAGGATACGGACCAGTGTGTGGAGAGAAGAAGGTTCCAGAACAAACACAAACACAGACCCCGACGGCGTCAGGCGTTCCCTCCTGGTCCTTGTCTCCAGACGTGGCCTTTCTGCTCTCCACGGCGATGGAGGCCAGCTTGGCGCTGCGCTTCTTCACCGTTTCCAAGAGGAGGCGTAAAAATCTGAAGAAGGAACAGGAGTAAAGATGACCAATCACAACGCTGCAGTTCACTCAGCAGGTTAAACGGTGGTTCGCAGGTGTGTCAGGGAGAGTGGGCGGAGCTAAACTCACTGCAGTGGTTTGATTAGAGGACACCTGCTCTAACACACACACACACCTGGTCTCCATGTAGTGGAGGATCTGAGGAGGTGACAGCAGTTTGTCCTCACTGTAGCGCTCTGGAGACAGGAAGTGGAAGGTGACCTTGAAGCAGCGCTGCTTCTGGTGTCTCTGGGTCCGCAGCGTCTCCACCACGTCCACCCTCTGGAGAACCTGCTCACACACAGATGTTTGTGATGAAGAGGAGCGAACAGAGCAGCAGTGGAGACCAGCAGGGGGCGCTCTTACCTCAGCCAGACAGACCCTGGTCAGTTTCTTCCGCAGCACCTTGGCTCTCTTCAAGGCTCTCCTGGTGTTCAGCACTGGAATGGTCATCATGGGGGTTTGGATGTTGGAGCTGGCCACCATCAGGATCTCCCTCAGTCTGGAGGACACACACACACACACCCCTGTCAGACGTGTACTGACACACTGCTGTTTCATCATCAGTCTATAGGAAACCCCACCCTCACTCCCCAC